CACACACACACACACACACACAGACAAACCGACAGACACACTTAGCGCGTTATATATAGTAGGATATTTCCATCGTACTTAGACTCATTCGCAAGTGCACTTAGTCGGACATTTTAGGACGGCTGTACCATCAAAAGCTAGGTTATTGATAAGGTTCGAGGAACTTTCTTGGTAATTACTGCATTAACCTATGAGGTCGGCGGATAATTCATGCGATCAGTTTGAGGCGCCACTGTGGAAAAGATGGATCAGTTGGTTAATGGGAATGTGGTTGTTTGAGCTCCAATGCGAATAATACAGTCTCTACAAGCATTCCATCTTCGATCCTACATAAGGCCCTTTTTAGGCCGTTTTCCGATTTTACAATGCCACATATGTATAAACCAGGCTTATTTCTCCGAATTGGGAGCGATTTCTTCTAAAAGCCATCTTCGCTGTGTCCAGTAAGAACATCGTATAATATCATAAAGGCGATTATTCAAAGAAAAAAAGGATAGATGAGCCAAGAAAGCGTACCTCCGTGAGATTTTCGTGCAATTGCAATACTTTGAACGCCCTATGGCCAAATTGTCAATTTTCGCGCAAACCCCGCCCCCTTTGGGCGGAGTCCGGTCCTGCCACCCACCGTTAGTGTTCCTACCCTGCCGCCCGTAGTCCTACCGAGTTTGTGTGCTCTAGGATCACGGGGACATGAGTTCTGAATTTTTGCTCAGACATTTATTTCTCACAAACCCCGCCCCCTTTGGGCGGAGTCCGGTCCGGCCACCCACCATTAGTGTTCCTATCTTGCCGCCCGTAGTCCTACCGAGTTTGTGTGCTCTAGGATCACGCGGACATGAGTTCTGAATTTTTGCTCAGACACACACATACACACACACAAACACACCAACAGACACAATTAGCCGATTATATAAGTAGGATAAGCTCCACCGATTCCTCCTTGAAGGTACATCTCGGGACTTTCTATCGAGAACGGTGCCTTGTGGAATACCTAGAGGTGCAGACACCGTGCAGAACGTTTGCAGACTCCAAACTAACGTCGCGGGAAGCAGAGGACACTTCACAGTGCTGATTCGGTGTGCCAATGATAATGACCCTATTTTCTTCAAGATGTATACTGATGGCAAACCGTACTGTAGCTATGGGATGGTAAAAGAGGTTAATACACTGCTACAAAGCTCATCGAATCGCACTTCTGCCTTGGCCAGCGATGAGTCCTGACCTCCATCCGATGGTAAAGAATGGGGTTCGTGTTGAGAAAGATGTACGCTTTGCCAGTTTCGATGCGTCAAGGAGCTCAAACAAGACGTCAGTGCATCGCACCAATTTGACCAAAGGCTTATCAGCTATCTTTATGCAAGCACGGATGATCGCATCTTCCAAATTACTTAAAGGAATGGAGAGCCATCAGATTATCTAACTTTTAATCGGAAACTTTTCCAAGTACGGTAAGAGTTAGACGGAAAGAGCATTTATGCGTAGAAAAGCTATAATCGAGGTAAAAGAGGGCTCTAGAAACGTTAGGGTCGTGGCGCTCATCAAGGCAAATCTAGTCATTGTACTGATTCTGCCACCTTGGAAGAATAACTGCGTAACGAGTTCAACGTTGAAATGGTAGTAGGATAAAAAACCGGTAAACGGTGCTAGGTTAAAGATGGCAAATCGATCGAATTTCATTCCATATCATTTAACAGACTTTTCGAAGTTATGTTCATCGTTGAGCAATTCAAAACTTTTTTCATTGCAAAAGGTAGGTAGAAAGTAAATATTGGAAATCTGTGTGAAATCAGTCTGAAGATAAAAAAGGTGTGACTGTACTTTTTATGATCTCTCGATTTAGTGCATAATTTCATTCTGGACACTTACTATCAATTGAAAATGCAAGAACGTATGCTGTTCGAAAAAAGTCATGTTCCGGTTTTCAGATGAATTAGCTCTAACTTACTTCAGAAGCCTTCTTTTACAAGTGAAAAATGGTTTCTTCCATACCGAAAGCATGTGCACACACCACTCAGCGAGACACGCTGTCAACTCAGTTTACTTTTTTCTTCCAGAGTTTGGCTGCTATCATTTGACATTGACACTCGAGAAAATAAAATTCAGAAATTTGGCCACGAAATGATCAGCACAATATAAGGGAAATGGCAGCCTACTGTTCCATTTATTTGAGAGTAGAATAGCGACTTCATATTTCGCTGAATACTTTCCATGAAAGCTGTTGCCGCACAGTCGTACTTATTTGTGAGAGTCGTTGCTAATAGCGTGCCTATAAGAATCTTTCTATAACGAAAATGTCAAATATTTTTCAGAATTAATACGCATTGTTCATAAAGCTTGACGAACTGAAGTGAACTTCACAACATTATACATTAATAGAAAGTGAAAACTGGCAGTTTAAAGGCACAGCTCACGATAATTTTGGGTGATCCAGATTATGACGAAAAATGGAAGATAAGATGGAAAATAGTGCGATGAAGGCGAAGGAACCGCGTGAAGTGGTGTTTCCAAAGTGAAAAAAGCTTTAAAAAATCGTTGAAAAGTGGGGTGGACGAAAGTGAGAAAAGAAGAATGAAGAAGAGTGGGGTATTTGGACGAGCTATACAATGTGGGTCATTGCGTACATGTTGGTCCTGGTGCAAATATAATAACTGACTACGGTAAGCAAAAATTCATTCACTTATAAGCATAAGTAAACAAAAAACCCTAGTAGTAGCAAAAATAGCTCACCTTTTCAAGCCTAGGCGGCAGCAAAAAGAATAACAGAGGAAAAAAGAACGAAAGAAAAACATGGCCTCATCGCTCGGCGATCAGCTGATTGTGTCTCGACACTCGTCTGATGTGACATCGATCGAGGGGGGGGGGGGGGGGGGGGGNGGGTATTCTTAAGAGAGGAGCTCAGTAACCATTTTTGTCGTGAACTGTGCCTATAAAGAAAAGCAAGGAAGGAAACGGAAACCTCTTCTTTTCGTTTCTTCTTTTGGACAGTTAGTTTGGATGTTGTAGCACCTAAGGTGGTCTCTTCAGGTTGCTCTTGCTGACAAAAGTGGTAAGGCTGTTGCTATTGATGTGCTTGATAACAGTGATGGTTCATTTACTGTGAAGTACACTGCTCCGAGGCCAGGAAAATATCAGGTCAGTCACTTCCCTTTCTTATATATTTGTAAGTGATCTGCTCTCATGAATTTTATGATGTGCTTTCCCTACTTTTGTATCTGTCCTTTTATCTGTCCTCATCTGTCAACTATCCCTGTTCACTTGGGTTGCTTAGTGCATAAATTTGCTGCTAATCTAATACCACATTGTTTAGTTGAACGTAGTTTTCGCTGGCGCTCAAGTACCACCGATAGAAATCAACGTTGAGCCGCAGGTGGATATCTCGGGCATCAGAGTCACAGGTCTCGAAAACGGTACGTAATTTGATTTTGATGGGATGGTATGCAGTGTTTGGATGTTATTATGTTGGGCTTGAATGTTGTAGACAGTTATGATAACTTGATTTTCAATAACAAGCATGGCATTGTGTTAATAGTAGTGGTTCACGAGGGCGTCGTATGCGCCCCTGGCGTGATATGGCATAATTTCATTTCAAAACAAATCAGTATAAATCATGGGATGCTGCTACTTCCCTGCTGAACGAAATTCATCGACTCACAAGATTGGCGGTGTATGGACAAAACTTGACTCGAACGGGACTCAAACCCGTACCTGTGCTTTGCAGCGACAGGAAACTCATTGATTTGAGATTTGAAGCATGTTGGCTTCCAAAAAATCAACGTGATGAGATCATTGATTGACTTCGACCGATAAACGCTCTTGTACTCGCTTTACTCCTCGTGTCTAATTCAGGACAGACAATTCCTTTTATGGGAGCAAGAGGGTTGAATTGGAATTGTTCCAGTTTTGCGAGAATGCATCTTCGACGTTGTTGGTATTTTGTCCCGCTGGCGCTTCCATTATATTTCTTACAATCACGCGACATTTTTGAAATCTTTCATGTTTTTCCGAAGAAGCTTGGACCTGGGACATACTGATTTAAATGTAGTGGACGCTTTCTAATCTTATTCAGATTGATGGTAAGCTCTCATTGCAAACATAACAATCGTTTGGCGAAGCTAATTGGCGTGTCTTTATGTTTTGTTTCCGATACCTTCGTTGGCGTGTTTTACACGCAAAGTGGTTAATCCAGTGTTCTCGTTTGTGTTTTCTGTTCTTTTCTTGTAACAGTCGTGAATTAATAGGGGGATGTTCGGAAATTGCCTATAACTTCAGAGCAAGTGTCGTGAAAATGGATAAGGAAGTGATCACTGTTCCAACTACCCAAAACTTCACAGATTTAGTTGACTTCATCAAGTAATCGCAATTTCTAGTGATCATCTCCAAAATAATCTCTCGAGGTTATTGAAGATCCCAGTTCGAGCAGAAACCTCGCTCCCGTTAAAAGTTCTCGCTGTAGCTCGTGCCTTTAGACTTGCAGCTTAGAAAGGTAGGTTGAGGGAAGTGGTCCTAAAATTTTAAGTATGTTAGAAGAAAAGCAACACTATCGATCAAATTCATGGAAAACACGGTTCAAGCGAACAAAGGAGCAGCGGAAAAAAATGAATGGGTGGACGATGGCAAGAACAGTCTGCGACCACTGATACCTAGAACCGGGAAAAGGGATCCTTTATACCTCTGCCTGTATCCCAACAAGTCCCGACAATAGATCGAAAATTCGCGCCCAGGGACGCTTGAGAAGTCTCTCACCTATTTTAGTTTTGTTCCACATTACATCAATATGGTCAGATTTCCGAACAAACTCTTTCACATCTTACAACGTTTGATGTGCCGTAACCTTTTCATTTGCTAGTAATATTCTCATACCTTTATTTTAGCCATCGTAACGGTGAACTGTCAGCAAGAGGTCCACGTTTTCACACCAGATGGGGACAATACTCGTATCGTTATCATCAGTCCCTCTGGCAGCATCGTTGAAGCTATCATAGAATCTACCGAAACTGGTTTCCGCGTATGGTTCACTCCATCTGAAATCGGAGATTATACCATATCTGTTACCTACCGCGATCTTTCAATTGGTGCTCCATACCTTCTTCATTCTGTACCGGATGGAAATACAGCTGAAGCCGAGTATGTTGTCGCGAGGAGCGGGCCCCCAAGGGCTGATCTGGTTACAGTTACGGGACCTGGACTTGGGCCTGTCATCGTCCAGCGATCAACGCATGTTTCTATCGACACAACAAGCGCTGGATTCGGTGATATTGATCTTTTCGTTGACGGGCCAACTAGGACTCCCATTCACTGTGTGGACAATCACGATGGAACACTTACGATGTATTACGTGCCGCAAACTCCGGGAGTGTACTTTCTGCGAGTGATGTTTGGAAGCAACCATATTGCTGGCAGTCCATTTCAAGTGATAGCTGTGCCAGCTATGTTGGCATCGTCGTTAACGGCGGAACATGAGATTTCGGAGAGCTCGTTTACTTCGCTGTCCAGTGGATCATCAACTCCAAAGACGACTCCTTGTGCATGATACGCTGTTTTTGGGTGTTATTTACTGTGATCTCATAAGACTATTCGATTATTCTGAGACGCTGTTGAGAAGAAGATTGTTCTTGATGATTCTTTCCGTAACCATAAATTCATGATGAAAGATCATGCAGACAATTTGTTATTTAATCACTCGATTAATCAATCGTTAATTAATCAAAATCATTACCAAGAAATGCGCCAATTCTCATATGAAGTGCGAAGACTTCAACTTTTATCAGCAGAAATAAAGCAAGGACTACACTTCTATCAGCAGGCTCTTACCACTTTTTTTCGTTGTGGACTTCTACGCTCCCAACACCTGCATGCATGCTTAAATTGGTATGAAGGTTCGATCCGCGTATATTTGAACGCCTTGCCGTAGTCTCTAAACACTTTCACGCATTGTATGGTTTTGAACATAAGTGAAGTTCTTCTAAAAGCAGCTCTATTTTGCGTACCTACTCTGCACTGTAGGTACGCATGCAATACTTCCGACGAAGCGAGTTTCGAATTTGTATATAAAGTGCCGCTCACTGTGAGGAATACCTCCCATTAGCACGGGTAGAGGCTCAAAGTTTGTTTTTGAACTGATCGCGTGTTGCACGCAGGTATCCTTCTCCTTTTCTGCTCAGCCGTTCTTCATTTTTGCTTTCTAGGACTCCAAGCTGGGGCTGCAAATTCGACAGGTCCTGTCCTAATCAGGAACCGTACGGGGGACTCAAGTGAGTCATGTTCTGGAAAATAGGTTGGCNTTGGCTCTGTGGGCTGGAGAAGTGTCCTGCTGGAAGGACAACGAGATGTTTCAAAGAACGAACTCGGATCAGTGTTTTATTACGTCCATCAGTACGCTATTTGAGTGCTGGTCTTGGTCAATTTTCACGCCGGTACCGAAGAAACCACGAGCGCCTTACTTTTGCCAGTTACTTCTTCGAAAAACATCATTTTACTGTTCTTATAGCAACCTTTTTGTGAGAGGTTGCACGCTAGAAGTTTCTTTCCGGAACGCGAACGTTTTGATTGTGAGGGATGGATTTGTCGTGATAAGTTTTTTTGGCCAAAGAAAACAATGCAGGGGTGGGTGTCATCAGTCAAGTGGGTCTGCGACTTTTTACATTTGTGGCCCTGCAGTGTCTGGTGAGATCGGAATTGAAGCGAAATTACTGCATACGATAGGAATGACAATGACGTTCCTGCATGACATTCTTCTATCGCGATAACTCTGATAAGCCGTGCCCGTTGACTTCCTTTTGATGGGTCACCCAGGATCCCGACCGACTGGCAGGCGGGCCATTTTATTTAATAGTCCTGTCTTTGAAGCGTGGTCTTTCTACCTTTTCTGGTTTGCTATAATTCAATCTTCTTTTCTATGTGATTTAAGTTCCTCTTATACGGTTGTTATAACAATCCTAAGGAAATTCATAATGGCCTTCCACCTCTCGCTTGTCAATGATTTCAAGTGAGCCTCCCCCATCTGAAAGTTATTGGGAATTCCGCATCAGTAACGATGCATAATGCAAGGAAACCCTATGCGACTAATTAATAGCAGGTAATGTGGATTTTACAAATTATTTCTACCCTAGAAATTTCTGAATTTTTACAATGAAGTGTAGAAGTATAAATTGCTGAGCCTCTTTCGCATCTGCGATGATTTTTATTTTTACTGTTCTGTGAAACGAATCGCACGCTGTGTTCCGATTTAGAATCGACGCCTGTCGGGTCATCCTTCGTGAGCGAAGCAAGGCATGTATGTCATGACCAAGCCTATTTGTCAGTTGAATTCTGGTGAACACGAGACGACAATGCTGCTTGACATCTTCAGTAAAATGCACGGGCGTTCAAGCGGGAGATGCTGGAATGTTTCTTAGAGGTGAAGGGCTCAAAGAGCTGAACGAATTAGATGATATGTTTGTTAAATCACGGGTGTGGTATACTGCGGCGGTAGCATGGTTCGGGATCGAATCTCTGATGTTACCAGGCAACCTAACAGAGGATAGAGGCGCTGAGTAGTACATCGGGTGGCTGCAATGGATTTTCACACTGCGAGCTCTTGGGTACGACTTCATTTTCTCAAACTAAGCTACGATCCTACCAGCCTCTCGTGACGGTCATCGCTGTTCCGCTGTAGAAGGGCGGTATCGGTAGCGCAGTGATGGGTGTAAACCACCGTTCTCATTAGTCTTGATTGCCGCAAAACTTGAAACGTGCGTCCAAAATCAAATGGTTTTTTTGAAATCTTTTTGAATAATCAACTATAGTTAAAGGCACCGTTAGCGATAATTTAGGGGTATCCGGTATTTCACACGTAGTGATAGGTAAGACGTACATTAGGACAATGGTAAAGCATAAAACGCGAAAAACAGCAAAAAAA